TCAACTAAATTTTAACTCAATTTAATTATACAAACTTCATTATAATTTTTACAATTCTTGTTTTTTTCTTTTTTTTCTCTCTCTCTCTTTCAAAATAAAAATACATTTCTTTAAAAAAAATATTTTCTCTCTAAAAAACAATCAAAATTTTCAATTTATTATAAAAATATTATAATAAAAATTATTTTTTATTATACAAAATCAATTTAAAATCAAATATAAAATCAATTATCTTTAAATATCAAAAAACAATTATTCAATAATTTTATAATTGGATCAGAATTTAGCCTTTATACTAGTATTTAGCTATTGTATCTAATTACACTAGAGCTAATTCCTGAGCTTAATTAGCTAAATTAAATCTGACTAAATTTCTGACTCAATTCATTTATACCTTCCATTCCTATTTTATTTATTTATTTATTTCATTTAAATAATAAATAAAGTACATCAGAAAATTTAATTAGACGTAAATTTACGGAAATATCACATGATCTCCAGAAATTTACACCTAAAAAATTTAATTTTTTAACTTTGGCCAAGATTTAAGTGACAGGAAGCAATTTTCCACTAAGATATTTCTAAGATAGATCGAAAGTTCTGGTTTTTGGCTACAAGATAATATATATTTCATTACTATAGCATTGATATTTGCAAAGAAATTCATATTTAAATTCAAATATCTATGAAAATTTATGCCATAATTTTTCATGGATATTTGAATTTAAATGTGAATTTCTTTGTGAATATCAATGCTATAGTAATAAAACATATATTATCTTGTAGTCAAAAATCAGGACTTTCAATCTATCTTAGAAATATCTTAGTGAAAAATTACTTCCTGTCACCTAAATCTCAGCTGAAATTAAAAAATTAAATTTTTAGGTATAAATTTCTGGAGGTCATGTGATATTTCCATAAATTTATGTCTAATTAAATTTCCTGATGTTCTACTCTTGTACTATTTTCTTCGATTGTATTATATATTGTCATTATACAGTAGTGATCAAAAGTATTACATCACCTGAACAAAAATTTTAAAATTTTAATATCTTGTAATACTTAAAATACAGTGTAACATAAAATTTTTTTAGACTCTTGAAAATGATTTAAATTCAATAAAGCAAAAATAATTGCACATTAATAAATTCAAAATTTAGAAAAAAATTATTTTATATAATTTATGTGATATATTTCTTTTAATCATTCTTTTATTTTTTTTATTTATATAGAAAATTCAACAAAAGATAATTCAACAATGTTAAAAATTTTAAAAATTATTTTTTACTATCTGGTATAATTACCCTTGACTTTAATTATATCATTTATATGAGTTGGTATGTTATCTACTAACTTCTTATATGCATCAACCCTCAACTTAACTCAAACTTTCTGAATTACATTTCAAAATTGATCTTGTGTTCTGATAGATATTTCAAGTTGTCTAATATATCTATTAATTTCATTTTACAGACATTTTATAAGGTTTAAGTTTAGAGATTATGTAAGCCAATCAAGTAACCTAATATCATTATCTTCAAACTATTTTTTTATAAGACGGGTAGTATGTTTAGGATCATTATTCTGCTGAAAAGTAATATCATCTTTATTCATTTCATGTCACTCAATAGTTTCCAATAAATCTTTCTCTAAAATTTCTCAATATAAATTACTATCCATATATCTATAAATTCAAACTATGTTATTAATTTCATCAGAAATGAAATATCCCATACCATAATACTTCTCCTATTCAAATTTGACTGTAGGTTTGAGATGATGATCACATAATAGTTCTTCAGGTCATTTTCAACAATATTCTCTATCATCTAATCTATAAATAAAGATAGCATCTGTAATTATAAATTGAGGATTATAGTATTATTACTTGTATTATAATTATTGAGAATTTTAATGATAAAAAATCTGTAATTCCACAATTTACAATTATCCACAATTCTTCAATTATTTTGCAATTCCTTGATTATTTTACAATTTCTTAATTATTCTTTAATTTCTCAATTATTTCACAATTTCGCAATTAATCTGCAATTCTTCAGTTATTCCACAATTCCTCAATTATTTTGCAATTCTACAATTATTCTGCAATTTCACAATTATATTACAAGTCTATAATTATTTTACAAATCTACAATTATTTTGCAAATATGTAATTATTTTATAAGTCTGAAGAAGAGTACTACATAAAGATAGGGAGAGAAAAGGAAAAGAAAGAGAGAGAAAGGGAAAAAAAAAAAAAGGAACACTGGTCAAAAATTGATAAAATATACACATATTGGATATCCGATATGTGCATGGTACGTCCCTAATATTGGACATATATCGGATATCCAATAGGTGTAGAAAATATTTTTTTACACTTATCTGATACCCAATATATATATAAAATATTTTTACACCTATCGGGTACCTGATATATGCTTGATATTAGGGATGTACCATGTATATATCAAGTATCCGATGTGTGTATGTTTTATCAATTTTCAACCAGTGGAAGAGAAAGAAAGAAAGAAAAAGAAGAAAGAGAAAGAAAGAAAAGACCTTCAATCATATATCCGCAAAGCTAATTGTGACAATTTCAACTTTTACAGGTGCTCCTAAGAATTAGCGAAAGGTAAGTATAAAGGTTTTATTTTTTTTTTAAAAAAAAAAAATCTTTAATTGTATATCTACAAAACTGATTCCAATAATTTCAACTTTCACAGGTGTTCTCACGAACTAATAAAAGTCAAGAAAAAGAAAGGTAAAAGTAAGGACAAGGTAAGTATAAGGTTTTATTTTTTTTTAAAAAAAAAAAAAAAAAAAAACTTACCTTTAACCATATATTTACAAAGTCAATTTTAATAATTTCAACTTCTACAGGTATTCCTATGAGTTAACAAAAGGTAAGGAGAAGAAGGATAAAAGCAAGGATAAGTTAAGTATAGGTTTTTTTATTGTTTTAAAAAATAAAAATGAGTTTTTATTTTTTTTAAAAAAAAAAGAAAAAAGATAAATATAGGTTTTTTTTAAAAAAAAAATTTTTGATTATCAAGTTATGTAAACTTGCAGAATGATTGAGAAATTACAAAATGATTGAAGAATTGCGAAACAATTGAGGAATTGCAAAACAATTGAAAAATTGTGGAACAATTGTAGAATTGCAGAACAATTGAGAATATACAGATTAATTGAGGATATATGGATTTTTATTGCAATTCCATCTAAAAAATCTGCAATATTGAGAATTTGAAAAAATAATTGAGGATATCATCTTTATCTATAAATCATAAATTTTGATTCATCAGATCAGATTACTTTGCTTCAATCTTCTATAGTCAATTTTTGATATTTTTTTGCAAACTTTATGCAGGTAATTCTATATGTTTTTTTGAGATATGGTTTTTTACATTTTACTTATGCATCCAATCCATTTTGATGTAAAATTCTCTTTATTGTACATTTGTAACATCAATTTGATCAACAGTTTTTAATTTTTTTTGAATTGCAACTGTATTTATACACTCACCTGTTGTTATTAATTACACAACATTTTGTTCAATACAGCCAGTTATGAGTCTTGGACATCCAGATTTTTGTTGATTATTAAATATACCAGTCATGTCTTTATATTACTTGATTCTTACAACTGTTAATTGTGAAATATTTTCTTTATTTGTCACATAACAGGAAGGATATCCTTCTTCAAGTAGTGAATAAACTCAGGCTCTTTTTTCTTTAGACAAATATACTATAAATAGTTTTAAAAAAAAATTATGTCATAAGGTACCCTTTTTATATGTACTACATGGTGTGTTTAAAAGGAGAAAAACTTAATGTTTATTGTTTATGTTTATTTTTCAAAATGATCAAAAGAAATGCATTGTGGGTTTTAAAAAATATTTTTATTTTTGAATGAATTTTCAAAATAAATAAAAAAGAGATGATGCAGGTTACAAATATAAGGTTTGACAAATCCATTAAATAAATATTAAAATTTGAAAATCTTTGTCCAGGTGATGCAATACTTTTGATCGCCACTGTAACTTCAACCGATCTGCTTCTGCTTCCAATCAAGTTGAGTAATCATGTTCCAAATGATAATAATAATAATAATATAATAGTAATAATAATAATAATAATAATAATAATAATAATAATAATAATAATAATAATAGTATATTCCAACGTAAATAACCACAAATGATCGTGTAAATATTTTCTTCGAATAAATGATATCTCCGTTTTGGCTGTATTTGTTTCTACTGTTTTCTTTTCCTTGCTTGTATTAGCTATTGCATTAAGCTTGTCTGTTTCTGCATTTTTAAGCATTTATCGTGATACTTTTCGGGTTCATACTGCTGGGCACTTTTTGCTTCAAGGTCTTTTTGGTTGCGTTTACGTCACTATATCTAGTTCCATGATTCGCTGTGTACTGTCTAGGGCATCCGTTCCGTTTTCCATACTCGTTACTGATTTTCTTTATCGTTTATTTTTATTTTTGGATTGTTTTTTAATATTACTTTCCTTGAATATAAGTATGATGAAAAACTGTACAGTACGAATCCGCCAAGCTTTCCCAAATCACTATATTCACAAAATTTATTTTCCAAATTATCTTCACCTAGAGTTCTTCCTCCATTACTTCATTACTTCTACTGAACACTTAAAATGTCTTTCTTCACCATTGTCAAAGAATTTTCATCAACATTAATCAAAAATATTAATAGTCTTCTTAGTTATATATTAAATAATTATTAACTATATTATCATTAATCATATGTGACATATTGTATTAATTAAGTTTCAAATATTTTTATTCTTAAATATAATGTACAAAATTATAAATATGATAAAATATATAAAAATATATATATTGACATATATTGAATATGGAGAGAGAGAGAGAGAAACAAGAAATACATAAATTTATTGTATAAACGCCAATGAAAATTTACTACAATAATACTACTAATGCGGCTGTTACTGTTGCTATTTTATTAACCTGTATTGGCTAAACCTAATCTAATAATTAAGAGAGAAAACGTCAATGAAAAAATTGTTACCAATACAATTTTCCAATGAATGGTGTCAGGTAAATGAATAACTTTTTGTGGAAGAACTGTAATTGCCTGGGTATCCAAATATACAAAATATGCATAGGCAGAATATGCAATTGCGTAGGAAAAAGCGAACATTTCGAACCTATTAATTAACAATTTATTTTGTTATTTTATATACATTGTTGTGCATATGCGTATATTTATATTGATTACTTACATTCTCGTTTCTTCAATAAATATAGTAGCCAAGCAATTGCCAAATATATGAAATCCTGACGCTACAATTAGTATCAATATTTGATATGGAAGATGAACAACTACACCATTATCTGGATTATAAACGACATCACTTCTTTCTCCTCTTTCGTCATCATCATTGTCTCCAATTAATGGATTAAGACTATAATCATTCTTAATATGTTTTTTTGTGTTAAAATATGTTCGTGTGAATTGAATTAAAAGTGCCCAATCAGTAGTAAGACCTGAATAAATATGTGTGTTAAGTATTAATATTCAAATTTTGTATATTAAATAAATGATAAAAAAAAGAATTACCTTGCATTCTAAACCATGCCGCATCATAAGGCCAAGTTAAGAAAAAAGTCAATCCAGCAGAAATCAAAACATAAAGTGAAAGCATTCCATAAAATTTACTTGAAGTAATTCTTCCTCCATAATGCATATTAACTAATATCATAAATTCAACTGCGTTATGTAATAATCCAATTGATACCCACACTTTTCCTATCTCTGTCCAAAGAACCGTTAGACTTGCACATGCCGTAACTAAACAATAAACACCTAAAGTTACATCAAATTCAAATGTAGGGACCGTTTTATCACCATTTAATACAAAAAATGTCGTTTTTCTTTTATTTTTATAATTATTATTAACATTGCAAGTCCATTTCATAATGAAATATCCACATAAAAACATCAAAATAGTTGAGAAAAGAGTTATTGCAACGAATGTTTCATCATTGCCTCTACCTAAATAATTTTTTTAATAAAAAAAAATAATAAAAAATGATCATCGTTATGGTGAATTTTTTTTAAAAAAAATATCCGTGATAAATTTTAAGAAAACTTTTACTACCATTTATGCCATCAACTGGAGGATGCCATATTGGATATCCAGTATTTTTTGATATATCTTGTTCAGGAACGTTTTGATAATCAACAATGGCAAAAGTACCCAACAAAATTAAAAGACATAATATAGCAAATGTTATAGCTATACAATGTTTAAGTGCACCCATGTTTAAATAAATAACTTTTAATTATTTAGATTTATATTTACGAAGTGATTTTTTAAAGTTTTTTTTTTTTTATTTCAATTTATTTTTGAAAATTAAAAAAGAATACAGTAAATTCTCGCTGCTTTTTATCATTCTTTTTTTTTCTTTTTAATAATTTTTATTGTAATTACTCTATTACTCTTACAATATAATAATTTATCCGTTCCAAACCCGGTTATAAATTGCTATATATCAATTTCTTATTTGAGAAATATTTTCCTTTTTTACTGTGCTGATTTCGCACCCTATTTTTCCTATTTGAGAAGCACGAGCCTTTTTTGCTGTATTGATTTGACACTCTATTTTACTAAAATTAAAACTGACTGTAATAAATAAAAAAAAAGTTTATCTAATCTCTAATTACAGTATTCCTTAAACGGTAGAAATTCCGGGCAAATTTGCCCGCAATTTTTTTTTGTACAATTGTATCATTTATGACACATGACTTGACATTATTTTCGAACTAGTACCTGTGCCCGCAGGGGTTAAGGTTAGGGGTATTTATCACCGTGTGTCACACTTTTCGAATATCGATTTTTAGGGAACGCCTAAAGCCATGTCCAGTCACGTGATTCTCCGATTGGCAGTGTAAATTACAGAAAGTTTTTTAGAAAAATAAATAAAAAAATAAAAAATAAACTTTTGTCACTCTTGCCATCCATCTATCCATCCCTGTTTCTATTAACAATGAAGAAATCCTGTAACAAGATAGTTTTTATAATGAATTATGTATTTATTGTATTTATTTATTTTTTATTATAAAAAAAATATTTTTATTATTTTTTATTTACTGTATTTAATTTTTAAAACATAATAGTATGCACAATATTGCAAGTAAAAAAAAACTCCAACTTTTATAAGAAACAAGTATAACAGAAGACTCACTTTTCCCACAATATTTTACACAATGAACCTATTGTTATGGTGTAAAATATATGTAACATTATAATTATCAATCAAAATATTAAATATAATTAGTAGTATCAATACATTATAACAGAAGATGAACAATTATTTAGCTTATTATTAATGGATTGGATTTACCTATCATAATTTAAGTACAATGTACTTAAATTATAACAGAAAATAACTGAAATTTCTAATGATTTAAAAAGATAATAGGGATTCAAAATTAATAGACTACTAACTTATGTTAAGAGATTTCTATAGTAAATATTATAGATTTTTTAAAGTTATACATGAGGCAAAATCATGTGTTGATTATAAGGATGTAGTATCAGGTGTGACAAAATGATGATAATCAATGCTGAATAAATCAACTAATTTAAAATCTAAGTAAGTGGATATTATATAACTGATTTGTACACATGTGGTAATTACCTTATTTATAATAATCTTTTATTGCTCATTGTATATAAAACTGGTTGACATTATCCAATTTAAATATAAGAAACTCGAATTTTTTGTAGTCATATAATTGCTTTGACTTATTCAAAATCACAAATCAAGAAACCAACACATCAGCTATGTAAGAAAAAATAAATGAGAGTACTTATTAATATAAGGTATGCATGAAAATATAAAAGTTCTTTTTTTCTTGCAAGTTTACTGACTTTTTTTTTTCTTCTTTGAACTTGAAATGGGATGGATTTCTTCAAATATTAAAGAAGGTACCAAGGTTTCTGTTTTGGATTCAGTTGTAGATGAAAATGTTGCTCGGTCACTTTTGGAAGAATTATGGAAGACCAAATGACTTTTTGCAACAGTTTTATAAGTAGCACCAGGAAATAACCGTTGGATAATTTGTCTTGAATCACAAACAGAAATAGAGATTGAAGTCTCAGCAAGTCATATGCACTAGTCAAAATAGGGAATATTAGATACCTATCGTATACCTATTGAAAATTTGATAGGTATATGATAGGTATCCAATATTAACGATTATGTAATATATCAGGTATCGGATTGGTGAGGTCAAAATACAGAAGTTTGGGCACTTATCAGATCCATATTAGTTTCATATTGGATATTAATATTTTGACATTTTATTTAAATTTATCATTTATATATCGGGTACTCGATTTTATTTATTTTTTTTATCAGGTATATATCTTTTATAAATCAGCTATATATATCCCTATATATTGGGTACAGTATATCTTTATGTATCAGATAATTTTATTCCCTCTATCAGGTATCTATCAGTACCTTTTATATATATATATATATTTTCACTTTTTTTTTATTTGCAAATAATCATAATTTTAGTTTATTATAAAAAAAGATA